GAAATATTCAGTATTAATGGTGGCGATAAGGGAAGTTGTGTGATTTTGTATTGTAGTTTTAGAATAGCTGCCGATACCTTCAGAATTTTAATTGGCATAGTTCGCTCATATAGACACAGCAATATCCGTCCTTACATATGATAGACCTATCAGTAGGATCATACAATGGGTCTATGCATCTTCTGGATTCATTCTGAATGAATATGTCCACATTCTCAACTAAATAGATATTTTAAACATTTCTATAACAGATTCTTTATTGTCTAAGTGGAACAAATAATCGACACTTTATTTCGCCAGTAATTCTTAGACCTTTTGACAATAAGGTTCTTTACCTTCGTTCTTAATGTATCTTTTCTGGTCTTCTCTCGTTAACAAAATTTATCTTAGGGTGTCATGTATATCACCTTTCTTAGCTTTTTGTGCTTTCCTGCTGTAAAGTATTTTTGAGAAGAAATCTTTCACTGTCCACTGCTGTATTTTTACACGCTGGAATGTATACGTGTTATTGCTCATCGATGTGACTAATACCTTTCCGTGTGCAAATATTTTTCTTGCTTATCTGTAAATGTGTCTGTAGATTGTTCGTTTAGTAATCTATCAATGTATTTTATTTTTGTCTATGATTTTCATGTTTAATTTGTTCTCATAATTAATTATATAAAAAACCGTACTCTTAGGATGGTAGTATATATGGTATCAGGACATTTCCCCTTCCCTGGACATTTACCCCCGGACTTTTCCTCCCGACATTCCCCCTACGGACATTTGACCCTGGACTTCTCTCCCCATCAGACGGGACTTTTCCCCCAGTCACCCCCCTCATTATCGTCATACAACTTTATTTATATATAGTAACATTTAGCTTTGATGTATACTCGCATCCTGCATCACAATTAGTGCACAGGTATGACAGTTATCACCTGAAATAAATGCATTATCAAATGTAAAATATCTTCCCTCTCTCTCTCTCTCTCTCTCTCTCACACACACACACACACACACACACACACACATACACACACTAATGGATCGTAAGGGTACCTTGACACCACATTGGAACTGTGAACATAAATTCACACCCATTTTTAAGCATTGTTAGTTATAACAAAAATGGGCATTGTCTATTTGTCAATCAATTGCTAGTGCTTTTACTGAATGTAGAACAAGATGTTTCTTTGAAGTATGTTAATGAGGCTTGAGTCCAACCTTTTTTATTGTGCATTTCTGGTATATTTAAGATAAACAACAGATAGATTAGCCATCGTTCAATTAATTGTAATTGTTTCAGTACAGTACTCAGGACAGATATTGACATAAGTGGATTATGATGTAACAACAAAAGAAGAAGAAGTACAAAGACTGTTCTTGGAGAATTGCAAACATAGTCACTGACTTATACAATCCTGACATAGAACACTTAAAAGCAATTTTTGCAACATTAACATTTCAACAATACATTTTTAATATGTGAAAATGTTAACTTTGTTTAACACTACTGAGATTGATTTCAAATAACCTTTTTCTTTTAACATAACTTTATATAAGAGTTTATATTTTATTGGCGAAATGTCATTAAATGAATTAAGTTTTAAGATCATGGGGAAAATGACTTGGGGGAAGTCCTATTTGATGAGGGGGTATAAGTCCAGGGGGAAATGTCAGGAGGGAAAAGTTTGGGGGGGGGAAATGTCCTGGAGGGGAGATGTCCTAGACACATATATTATATACTGTTTTTCAGTCATTTGTTTTAAAATTTTGCTGCATATTAAATAGCTCCATGGTAATCAAATATAATATATTTAATGACAAGTAATATATTTATGTTTTCTGATATTTGTAGTAAAACAAAGATACAAACATCTGAAGTAAATTTATATTTATCTGGAAGTTTAGAGGATGTAAAATGCATGAAATAAGATAAATCTCTCTATTGGTATTGACACTTGTGATGCCTATCTTTGATTCTAAGGTTATTTATATCGTAATAAAATTATGGAGATGCGCATTTAGTTTAGCAATGTGTAGGATTGCTTGATTACATGTTTGATTATTGGAATTCGGTGCAATGAGAAATATGCCTTAGCACGAAATAATCAATCTGTTATTAGGAGCAAACGTCACGGAGAGAAAGTGTTAGTGAGTTTCCAAGATGCCATGGTCAATGAGTAGCGAACTCAGACCCAATCCGCATGACTGTCCCTGTAGTAGCAATTTATCAAACTAGTTGTGTACATCGGTGTTGTGACTGCAGCGGCAGTATTTATGGTAGGAAACCGGTAAATTACACAATGGAATAAATGAGAAAGGACTCGGTAGATACCGTTTATGTCGCCATAGTGGCAAATGTGATGTAGGTTTACTGGTGTGATGTGCCTTTAAACGGTAGATCGACTGGCCTCAGGTGGGCAGTTAAAATAGTCCCTCGTGGTAGGGATATTTGTAGTTTCTACGGTGTGAACTACTAGCGGTACGGAAAGTTAACGTAGAAAAACTATTTGGATATGCGGTTGAGGGTTATTTGGCAAATAAATAATGTAGTCTTACACTGATTAGAGTAAAACTTATGTATAGAATGGACACGTCGGGCTTTCCAACTTACAACTGAAGTTGTATAGAAGTCTTTGGAAATATAGGATAAACGTATGACTTCTAGCGGGATTCGCGTCAGGGTTTTGACACCGCTCGGTCAAGCAAAAGACATTATTATTATAACATAATATCGTTTCTTTCTTTTACCCTGTTTGACAATAATCTTTAATTTAGTTATCGGTTTTGTATATGTTCTATTGTCACATATTAATAACAAATTATACACATATCGGATTTTGAGAATCTGTTTAGGTCAATATCAAGCTTGTGGCGTAATATAAGCACAACATTTCATCGTATTGGGTTCAGAATTAATTAATTAAACTAAATGGAAAGTATTTTCTAATACCTAATACATACTATATGAGAAGAAGATTTATAAGAAATTCCTTATGAAAAACAAAAGTTATCACGAAATGATCGTTACAATATCATTTCTGAGTAGTCTAGTATAAATGTATATGTTTTCCGAATAACACAATATAAGAACAAAATCCATGTCTACAGACGACACTAGTAATCACGTTATGTGATCAGTTTAAGAAAGATTTAGTTTTATTCAAAAACAATATCACACAAACAGATTAAACGATAAAGGCCAGCTTTATGTTTCAGACGTTGTTAGTCAATCCAATTAGACTAGACATTAAATAACGAGCGATTCACATAAATATTAACAATTAAAGTTTCCAATTTTCATTCTCTTAATTTAATGTATTTTATATACGTTCATAACACTTATATCTAATTTTCTTGAAACTCTGATCTTATTCAACTGAGCACAACATACGCTTTCAAAGCACCTTTTTTATTTCTAAAGAAAACACAAGCTGATGAGGTGAGTGTTAGGACTCCATAGTCTTAAACTAAGTAAGAGAAAAACCCAAACCAAGAAGTTTTGTTACGTTCAGCAAATAATTTATTTGCCTTGAATACAAGGTGAACATTTTAAAGGAAACTACAGTATTCTGAATTAGATCCAAAATAATCATAAAGTTCTATGTCAAGGATAAAATTATAGATATTCTAATGAAATCCAAATCTTCAATCAACTGATTTATCAATGGCTTTGATATAATGCAGGGTGTCTTTGCGTGAAATCACAATGGCATCAAAATAGTTTTTTGGCTCAAAATGGAAATGCGCACTTTTTAATTCTAATGAATAAATAAATAAACGACTCTTCTCAAATTATTACTGAACACAACAGTAAATGATTCCAGGGTGACATAAAATAGGCACGAAGACTTTGTTGATAAAAAGATCTTATACTTAACCAATGTCACAAAGACATTTTCTGGACAAACCCAATCATCCTAATGGAAAATTACACCAAAAAGTAAATAAATTCGGTTTGAGAACTTTTAATAGTCACAATCAATGTTAGATCTTGAACAAAAATATTAGTAAACAGCTTCTTTATAACTTAAAAACAAGACACAATTCAGGAACACACTATAACTCTATCCTCAATCATGGGAAAAGGTCAAGCACACAATAAAAAAAATTATACACAACAGAAGTATAATACTTAACAGTATCAAGATTAAAGAAGCAACAATGTTCAAATTTCAGTGCATATTAACTAATGTATTAAATGTAAATTACGAAAGGCTGCTGATTGAGCTTTATAAGACAAATCAGTTACAATAGTCAAACGTTAACTGCCGGTAAACATAATCGACGGATACTAAAAACCTTAAACATCGTTAATACCAAAAAAGGGCACCAACGCCCTTCAGGTATGACAATCCATTTAATACCATTAGAAACACAACTTCAGATAATTGAATAAGAAACGAATTAGCTTCAAGAATCGTGGTGAGGGTTTAGTTAAACACTCTCGGATATTGTGGTTTCTACAATTCACATTTTCTTGCTGAAAAACTATTCCTGGCCTTTCGAACAATGCTCTCACGTTAATTGTTATCACCCACAAACATAACTGAGTCTGACACAAAAGAACCATGTTTGCGACGTATTGGTCTTTATTTAGACCCCAAAAGGAGTATAATCTTTAAGATTATGGGATTTTGCTTGACTATAGTTAGTAAGCATTTTAGTAATTAGTTTGCAATAGAAATGTATTGACCTTACTAAGATGGCCAGACAATTTCTTTCAAATGGCATACATAACTGCTGCGTTACATCAATATCAATTACTAGTATTTTTTAACACCATGAATGTATAATTGATGTAAATTCGGATGATTGGTTAATTTTGCAACTATTAGGCCTGACCAACGTTAGCACAATTAACACGTACTCAGTCTCGTAGGCTTTGTAGTTTTGGGAATTTCGATTGTTTACAATCGATAAAGTTTAGATAGAGGTACTGGAAATTTGACGTTAAACCCTTGAATCTCTTTACAAACATTGCTGTGAGTATATTGTGATGCTATAGATCCGATCCGGTGGCTTAGTGTTTAGAGCATCTGTCTCAAATGCAGGAGGTGGCGGGTTCGAACCCCGGCCGAGTCATACCAAAGACTTATAAAAATGGTACTTATAGGCAATCAGCATTAAGAGCTTATTGTTAGGACTGGTCAACCTGTTGTTAGGATAATGTGACTGGGCATGATGATCACTATAAATGGCCATTCAAAAGGATGGTAAACTGAATATGTTGATTTCGTCCTATTGCTAAGTGGCTCGTTGATTCTATATTGCCATTGAATACTACAGATAACAGTCTAGGTTACAGACGTATTAGTGTCACATGTGAAATGTGCCAAAGCTTTTCCGATCGTATAGCGTGATAATGACTTATGCATTAATATGAAGTATAATTCTGATAAAGGAAAACATGTACAGACATTTCAGTTCTATGCAGTAGGGTTTCAATGGGGTTACTTGTACTCAAAGGGTCTTAAGCAATCGCTTTACCCATCTTTGTCATTCCACCTCAGTCAGCATGTGTTCCAATCTCGTGATCGGCCAATGTGAGTATGTGAGAAAACTTGTCAGTAGCTTCCCGTGTGTCGGTGGTACTTACCCGGATTTTTCCAGACTTGTTCTTCCGACAGTAATACTAAACGCAACGTATAACTATTTTTCGCGTAGGAATGTAGCTAAATCCACAGCAACAACATTATTTCATTTAAGTCAACACTTAATTGGTTATTCATTTCTTTCCCTTTTGACGATGCTAATTACCACAAATATGCGCAGTTTTCAAAATACCGATGAAGTAAGTTAATTAAAACTTCTCCCACACATAAAATCATTTCTGATGAGAACGTACATTATTGACCTAATATAAAATGACTATGTAGAAGGCTTGGTATATTTTTGGGTATAAACTTGACATTGTCTCATAAAGTGGAAGTGTTTCTATAAAATACTACACAAAGTCCATAGTTTATATCTTTAATTATTTTATATTATCGGTTAGAAACTAAATTGCAAGGCTGTGGCATTTCTGTAAATGATTGCCATCGTAAAATTCGATCTGATGATATAATATTTTACCTCCCATGCTTTATATGTATTTTGTTCAATTATTCTGGCAGGTGATTTATAAAAGTAATTTCAAATCTTCAGATTCATTACCACGCTGATTGTTTCCAATTTTCTGAGTGTTCCTTTTTTACTTTCCTTTAATTAAAAAAGCTTGTGTGGGTGTGTCTTGTTTTTGTCTCTTTTGCTCTTTTTAAGCAAGACTACTTTGGGGAAAAAAGCTAAATAATTGGTCTAAATGTCGCTGAATATAGCAAGAAGCCAAATAAGATATGAAAATACGCTCCCGATAAATGTCACTCAACGCTCGCAATAATTTGTTTTTGTTTTCCCTGTATTTAGCAAATACTTCTAGTTGACCTGACAAATTAGGAGTTGTCCTTAATTCCTAGGAGATTTAGGCGCTAAAAGGATTTAGATATTTTAATGTAGCCTTGTCTTTATCAACATATAGTCCTTTATTTTGTCACCGCAAGAGGTCTATAACGGCAAAAGATACGTGATATACGTAGAGACGTGAAGAACAAATCGAAGTAGGGAAGGTAAATAATGTGTTACCACTGTATCATCTTAACTCAAATAAGGTTACTGTCCACACAGAGATATTTTCCTGTTTCCGGTATTTCATGTGAAACATTGCCATCAAAATAAGTGTTTTGATAACTTCATACAACTAAGTTGAGTGATGTATGATACACATTATATTTGACTGTAAGCATTTTTGATATGCATGACTAATCTTATACGAATGGTATGAAATGCCTAATGCCATAATAAGAGGAAAATAATTTCATACCACACTCAAGCAATAGGCTATCAAAGTACTCACTTATATCAAAATAATAAAGTGAAAATAAAGAATATTCTCAGATAAAGATGGAAGCGAAACGATCGCCACTGGTTGATTTTTGTGTTACTTTATATTTACCCCTTCCTCATCCTCCCCAAACTCTTCACTCCTTCATCACCAATCCAAAACCAGCTTGTGATTTAATCATTCTCGTAAAAGAAGCATATTCAATATATTTATCTCTTCCCAATCGCTTTGGACGGAGTTCTGGTTTTTCGAAAGGCTCTATATTGTTACTGCTCTGGGTCTTAATTATATATAAGAAAGGAATGAAATCAAGAAGTTAATCATAACTCAGCAACCAATTTTTTCCTAAGAATACAAAGTGAAAATTCAAAAGACAGTATTGTGAATTAAGTCCAAAATATTCCCAAATGTCCATTATAGAGTGTTCCGAATGAATTAAACAGTCTTGAATCTTCAAATGTACCAGACGTCTTGAAGATACTGATGTACCAGTGATGTATTGCACGCTGTCTTTTGGAATGAATTCAAAATAATGTGTTAATCCAGTAAATGAGTGCTTAATTCCAATGAATATTCAAATAATTAATTCCTTTAGAATTATATATAAACACAACCGTTAATTATGATCAAACAGGACTCGAACAGAATGACCTAAAACATAAATGAAAACATCAAAAGTCCCTATTTATATATATTTCACTTCACCTAGATCACAATAATATCCTGGAAAACTAATCATTTCTAATGGAAAATTCCATCCAACTTTAGACCTTAAACTTAAATTTTAGTAAACATTTTGTTCGCTAATAACAATCATGGCATAATCATAAATCTAAACGTCCAGAACCATTGATCAGGGATAATAATTAAGCACACACTATACACATACATAACAATGTAACTTATAAATATATATAACCTTTGACACAGCCGACGCCCAATATTAAACTTAGGACTGCGTCCAATATTTAAGTTATATTTTGTCATCTCTTTATCCCTATGCTGTCATCTAAGTTATAGTCACAATCCAAATAAAGTAACTGACCAATAGTCATTTGCATTTTCTACCTATGTGACAAACACGGACTCTACACGAAGGCATCTAGATGACTTGCGAAATTGACGTAAATCTTCCATGTCATTTTTATGTAAGCATGGTTTCTTGAATTTTTCTTATGCATTTCTTGGTATATCAAATATACAGAGTGCATACTAGACACATATGATGCTTTGGGAAGATTTTATATTGATTAATTTTTCTTGCATCTTGATGCTCATTTCATGATTTAGTCTTTCTCCAAAGAATATCACGATTGTTTCTTATTAGTGAATATTTAATAGTTCGTGCTTATTATTTTTATTATTATTATTATTATTATTATTATTATTATTATTATTATTATTATTATTATTATTATTATTATTGTTATTATTATTATTATTATTATTATTATTATTATTATTATTATTATTATTATTATTATTATTATTATTATTATTATTATTATTATTATTATTATTATTATTATTATTATTATTATTATTATTTGATAACAAACGGACCAAGTATACATCTGAGAATGACATTACATATGCACTGTGCACAATATCATCTTGATAAAATTTAAATCACTTTTGATATTGGCTGCTTTGCTTCATTTATATTAGGACGAAAATGCAGCTACAATACTTAAAACTTTGGCGTACATTCAGATTGAAAAGATAATAAATGTCATAACCAATAACTAAGGACCTTTTAAACCAAATGAAGTTTTTGAATGCACACCTGAGAATATAATTAAATGCTGTCTTTTCAATTTAGATGTATAAAATGCATTGTGAATTGCAGGTGAGTTATAAGTGTGTATTGATTACGGATACATAATGCAGTTTTCCTTCTGTGAGAACTTTAATTACAAATTGATAACTATTTCTTTATAAATCAATTTTAATGCAGTTTTCCAGTGATTAAGTAAATTTTGAGTCTCAACAAATCAAAATTTCAATATACAAAATGCAGTAATAACCTTTATATAATTACGACTGAAATATAAACCTCTAGAAAAAATCAGGACACAGCAATACATTTTATTTTGAACGAGAGCCGTCTTCCGTTAGCAAATTCAACATGTCTAATTGAGGTAATCATCAAACAACTTAATTTACCATGCTTATTTTAATATTTAACTTCCCTGTCAAACATTATTGATGCCAGCTGATTACATATATAGAGTAGTCAATAAGTATAAAAGGACTGGGTCTAAACGGACTTCCTGCTCTGAAAATTAAAGGGACTGCACAGTCCTCCTGCTCTTAAAATGGTTCGGCATAAACGAACTTCTGTTCTACAAATGATTGGGTCTAAAACGACATCCTGCTGCTCTCAAGAAGGTTGGACCTTAACAGACTTCTTGCTCTGAAAACGATGAGTCTAATAAACAGATTTCCTGCTCTGAAAATGATTATGTCTAAAAAGACTTCCTGCTCTGATAAATTTTAATTTACTTCTGTGATACAGGGGGAGTTGTGCAACTGTATGCTTAAATAAGGCTACTTTACGTGTTTGTCATTTAATATTTGCTTAATTATTTCAATATAGATTTTGCATATTGATACGAAATAAGCTGACACTTGGTAACATTTTATTTATTTAAAGATCTGGCAAGATCTTTGAATGTTATTATTATTATTATTATTATTATTATTATTATTATTATTATTATTATTATTATTATTATTATTATATTAAAATTTAATTTGCAAATATATTTTAGATAATTTTGTTTCTGGTGTGTTCCAGGTTAACACGAAAAGGCAGTTTTTCTGATGAAATAATGTATTCTAGAGCGAAGTCAACAACAATTCACATAATTACTCCCACGCCTTACAGAAGACTTGTCATGTGGATCATCACAAACACAATTTAATTTTTAAATTTTTTTCAAGTTGCTGAAATTACAACAAAGTATTTTCCCTTTAACTGTTTGGAAGATTCAATAACTAACATATCTCTTGTAGGCCTGTATTGATTTTATATATACCCCCATAAAAAATATACACCTCCGAATAAAATAACCATATTTTTGAATAATAGAAATCAACTTATGCTTGATCGGTACTACAATACGACTGTGGACTATATATTTAATGCAGTCATTCTCACAAACATTCAGAAAATCTGATTCAGCTTTTAAAATTGCTCTAG